GAAGACCCCTCCGAGGGAGGGGAGCCATACCGAGTAACTTCAAGGTGGTTCGGAGCATGGTGGTGTGTGCGGGACAGCCATAGCTGTTCTGTGTTGTCCTCTGGACATCACGGTGGCCTGCAGTAGTCCGCCATAGCCTCGGCCTCCAAGGAAGAARAAGGGAGAGGCGGCCATGGCTATGGAGGACCTCAATAGTAGTCAGCTGTAGAAGAGGACCTTGGACTTCGATTCTGGATCAGCTGGTCAGCATTGTTGTAATAATTCTTGTTTGAATATAAGAGAGGGGGACATATGGAGTTGAGAAGTTGAGCGAAGGAGAAGTGCGTTGACATTGGTTCTTTGCTGGTGTACTTCATCTTCTTCCTTCTTACTACTACTTCTTCTTCTTCTTATCCTCTCAATCCTCTCAAGTTCATTCATTTCTTTTGCAATTGGGCAGCATTGTGCTTTATTGGTGAATTTGTACTTCGCAATTGGTCCGGGTCATAACACAATAATGTTAGCAGCTGCCCGGTCTGAAAACAAAAACAACAAAGGCAAATGCCAACTTGTCCCACTATCTCAGTCACACAACTACAACAAAGTGTTCACGGCATGGCTGTGTGTGACAGGGATCCACCACTCAGATGCCCACTCACCTTCACAATTGTCAGTATCCATGGAAGAGCATGGGCAGAGCACCTGGCAGGTTAATCACTCGGAAGGGTGTACACTTCCTAAACTGTCACGAGCTTGGGTAATCCATGGACCTTGGAGACGATCCTGCCAGACGATGCTTTGTTGTGCATCTTCCTCTTTACTTCTGCCTTTGTACTCTAGTCCACTCCTCACACTCAGTGTGGCATACATCGCCTCGGGAGTCAGACACAGTTTCTGGGGAGGTGGCATCCGAACCTACAGGACCGGTGGTTCAGCAGAACTTGGACAGACATTAGCACACAGCCAGACAGCAGATGCCCAGGGAGTACCACACAACATTCGGCTCTTCTTTTTTTATTTTTATTTTTTAAGTGCAAAGCCGCAACGGCCTTCATAATATCATCATTGAACCGACCGGCCCCAGGCAATTCAGAATGATTTTATTCTCTTCATCTAAGGGTATCTGGATTCGAGCTTGAGTCTGTATTTCAACAGTTCATGGGTGTACTAACTGAGCTAGGATCGTTGGTCAACATTTGGCTCTTGTTCTAGGACAACCCTGAAGATGACTGGATTAAGTGCTCTACCCTTCTGCACAGGACTCAGGCCACGCCAGTGACGACACTAACCCACAGGATAGTTATGGGCAGGCCCACTGGTGATACGCTCATGGCAAAGATACGATAAAAGTCACCATGATGATGGCCAGGCTGGACCAGGCCTGGCCGCACCAGTGCTACCTTCATGGAAAAGAATTTAAAGAAACCATAGAACTGATCACAAGGATGACCAGCTTTATGATAACTTTGCACGAGCATCGCACCGGTGAGGTGTAAGCCTTCAGCTGTGGTCAATTTCGGCACTGCCCTCACAGATGGAGGACAAGACTTAGAAGCAGTAGAAGTGCCCATGAAATAACTGATTAGCAGCACCATCTGCCCGGCGGCACCTTCCACACTGCAGAAACTCTGCATCCTCGCAGGGGAGGTTGCAGCATGCCTGCTTGGCTTTCCCACACGGCATCCCACAGGCAGTCAGTCCTCCGTCAAGACCAGTCTGGGGATTGGTTGCAGCAGGCCAGTGGTATTAGGTCCATGTTAGGGCCTAGGCGAAGGAAAATTTTCTCACAAGAGGCGACCTCTTTTAGGAGTCAGCTAGATTAGAGGTAGAACCGTAGAACAGACTGCACAAGTTTTCCCTATCCCCTTTTCTTTCTGAGTCTGCATTTTCCTTCTAATGCCACAGGCTGATTTATTTGTTCTCCACTATTTTGTCTCGCCTCAGGCCCATCCCAATCACCTGGCTCTTCCTTGCCTCAGAGTGTGGCTCTAGTGAATGTCTTTGAGACACATCTTCCTCCTGCTATCCTTTTCTGGCCACAAAACTCTGCCCATTATGGGGAGTAGCATTCCAGTTAATTTTCCCTTTTTTTTCCGTTTGAACTTTGAAAAGGGAAGCCCCTAATATTATTGCATCCATCTGATTCTATCAGCATTTCAACTCATGGTCTGTTTACTAACATACAGTGAGCCGGTACAACAGAACCTTAATCATGTCCCAAGAAATGTCAACCGAGCCTTTGATCAAACTGATGGTCAATGAAGCAGCAAATGGCAATACACAGCAAAGCAAAGAGAATGAATCGGAACACAAAGAATGACTCTTCAACCGTAGTGCGCAACCCCCTCCAGTTAGTTCACATCAGGAGGCCAAAGGAAGGCAGGCGCCAACCTCCATAGCCGGGCATTGCTGCTGGAGGATGGGCGCACCTGTCTGGCACTAGCAGAGTGACTTCACTAGTGTCATCAGGGAGGGAGATTGCACGCTGAGGTGGTGAGCTGGTGGGAGAAGGTCCCAGTGTAGGAGGGGAAATGGAAGAGTCGCTTCAGTTTTATTATTGATTATTAATGAAACTATCCTCACTCTCTCTCCACAGTGCCTCTCTACCTTTGTCTCACACCTGGTTACTCGCTGCTTATTGTGGGACTACACTGAGTAATTCGTGACTTATTTCTGCATTGCAACTGATCTCATTTTGAGTGCATTGTGACTACTTACATGATCGTGTTGTGGAAGCTTCTCATTATTATCGGGCTCACTGCACTTGCCTGTTTGTGTGCAATTTGTTCCTACCACACCCAGTGTGTTGCTCAGGAGAACCCTGAACTGATCAGCATAGTACGGAATGCTCCATAGGGGACCTAACCAGGCATACGGGAAGGGTGAGGGAGAACAAATGTACCTTCAGCTTCTCATGTGACTCTTTCACTGTTTTTCCATCCCGTTTTTTCTGCCAGCAGTGCCCATCCTTCCGAAAAAAGCGGCACGTCTTCTTATCAAATAGATAGAATCGTCCACCTGCTCACCATCCAATCAACAACCAAGCAATCAGCAATCCATGAATAGATTTCTGCAAAAGCCTGTTGGGTTGCAGGCTCATACCCGTAAACATGCAGCTGCAACCTTCACCTTTGATTAAAATGACCCTTTGGTTTTCATATAGATGGCATGGCAAGTGGTCTGAAAATTAGGGTCTCCGTTAACCTTCTCTCACCGGTGCTGGTTCGTTTTTCGTTGGCAAGCAGCAGAAATCCACAGCACAGAAAAGAGGGTTCGACATACTGGCGGTTTAAGAGAAGGTTTCCACATGCTCGTCTTGTGTGGGGGGGGGTGTCCTTGGGTCTGAGGCTTTGGTGTGGTGCCTGTCACCGCTATAGGGGACGCCGCAGCAGACATTTCAGGCATGGAAGGCAACATGCAGATGAAACTGCAGTAAAATTGTAGACCGCTTCGTACAGAACTTCATGGACAGCTTCCCAAGGGGAAAAAAAGACCTTTGTCACTGACGTGGCAACAACAACAGAAGCAGAAGCAGAAGAAGAAGAAGAAGAAGAAGAAGAAGAAGAAGGGGAAGAAGGAGAAGAAGAAGAAGAAGAAGAAGAAGAAGAAGAAGAAGAAGAAGAAGAAGAAGAAGAAGATAATAATAATAATAAGAAGAAGAAAATAATAAGAATAATAAGAATAATAAGAATAATAACAATAATAACAATAATTCACAGGTATAATAGAACAGTCACAAATCCTGTTCACACGGAGAGCTCAAGGAAGAAGTAAGATATAACAGAAAAAAACAGTTCCTCTTGCCAAAACACCGCATAACGTACGCATTCCCGACCCCGTTTCCCTCCGTCCCTTCTCCTTTACACACAGCACATCCTTCCCATTCCACCACATCTACGGTAGGCACGGCAGATTGTCCCATCTCGTACATCACGCCCAAACACATCCATCTTCTGAAGGCAAGGAAGAATAGCGCTAAAAAATTCCCCCACAAATGCAGATGGAGTGCCGTACACCGCACTGAAATGAAGGGAATGTTTGAACAGGAATATATGTGCGCAGTGAGACACGATTCACACTCGATAGTGCACCAAAGTTGGCACCTAGAACCAAAACGCACCCAGCCCCACGTCAGGGGGGTGCAATCAGACTCAGACTCATTCACACTTTTCATGCACGTGAACAGCAGCATAACAAACTGGCGACATGCGCCCACACAGTACACAGAGATATGGCTTCCAGGTAAGTTCACTTCCGCTGGCTATGGCGACTGAGCGCCCAACATCCACTGTTCACACGCTGGATCACCCTGGATATCCCACACTCGACACTCTGCACGCTCACATCACACACACACACACTATTATAGCTATGGCAGCGCTAGCTGCCACTACCCTATCGCTATACTACACTTCTCTGCCCTTTTCGACTTCGGGCACACTGCAGACCTCCTCACACAAGCAGCTGAGGCAGCGCTTCCGCATGGCTTCCGCAGGAATGAATGAATGGCTGGGCGCAGCCTCTTGATTTATACTTCTGTGATGCGTTGGTCTGCCCTGTATCCCTTGGCCCGTGGTGCACACAGTCCCAGACGGTACTTGCTGGACTAGACCGGACTGGGTGGACTGGGACTGCTGACTGCGCAAGGTGGACTTCCACCACTTGACCACTTGCCCCTGCCTAACGTAGGCTGACTCCGAAAGGCCACTTCTAGAAACCTCTACTTTGGCCTTTCAGGACTGTAGCAGCTACAACTCTGCCCTTTCAGGTAAGTAGCAGCTACGACTTTGACCCTTCGGACAGTCTACAGCTAAGACTTCTAGACTGCCTAGACTCCTACCCGACAGGTCTACAGTTCGACTCCCTTCTACCCTGTAACCTACGAGATCTTACCTACCACTCGCAGTCCTACAGGTCCCAGGTTCAAATCTACGGGTTGACACAGTTACTGTACACAGGTAAGGCGGGGAACTAGGGATCGAGCCCTGGAATCTGCAGCAGCTACTGCGAAGTGGTGAATACCGTTTCAGGGGCCATAGATGGCCGGACCCGGTCCGGTACTGTGCCCAAAATTCAAGTACTGGTACCGCCCACTGTTGGTCGGATCTCCAGTCCCAGATGCTGTCACGGTCCCAGTGCCCAAAAACCATTTTTTTTTAATTAAGAGCACTGCAAAAACAGACTTACCAAAACCCGTTCTGAAAAAACAGAGTAGAGCAGACTCCCCTAGCCATTTTTTCAGATAACCCAGCCCTTAAAGTACATTTGCAAGCCCTGAAAAGACCAGTATCCGCGCATACCACGAGCAATTTGTGACCCGTAATGTTTCACTTTCTCGGAGGACCTCGAAATTAGGCCGGTGGGAGTGAAAGGATTTCACGCTGCAGACCCCTGAAAGCCCCGCACCAAATCCCCAAGGTTCTGGAAGTTTCGAAGTCCCAAATCCGTGGGTTCAGTAGAGTAGGGCCGATAGGCCAGTATGGGCGTCGTAGGTCTAAATGGGCCCGGCATCCGGAGAGGCCAAGTGTATGTGCAGTCGCACCGGTACCCGATGGAAACGTCTGGAAGGTTGAGCTGTTGTACAGCCAATCTGGTACCCCGCAGAAGAGTCCGGAAAGTCCAAGTCCAATCCCCAAGTCCACCAAAATTGCAGCATGTCCCAGGAAAGTCCGGGAAGCTTCCCAACTGACAAAATGATTGCAGCAGACAGGCCGCGGCTGACAGGTACCGGTCTGAAGCAGGCCAAGCCACGACCAGTCCTGTATTTAGCTGCTACAGGGCAGCGGCTCATCTGTTGTTCAGTCGTGAAGTTGCGGAAGCGCTGCTTCTGCTTGTGTGACCAAGCGACTTGGGCAAGGTGACGCTCAAAGAGGAAGGGAGCGCCGACGACCACCATAGCTAGGGTAGTGATAGGGAAGCAGGGCAGCCATAGCTGCCAAGGTCTGAGTATGAACTGAGCGGGTGAATTCAGGGCATGATCCAGGGCAGGCGAGAGAGACTCTGAGGCTGAGCGATACAAGACCAAAGAGAGAGAGAGCGAGAAAGAAGCAGAGAGAAGGGAGAGGGGGCTGTAGTCGGTTACATACCTGGTTCAAGTCTGAGTTTGTGAGCGGCAGAGACCGCAGAAGACATGAACATAAAAGGGCTTTTACGATTCAGACCCTGAATCACGACCCCAACATGAAGGGGCCCAGTCGGCCAGAACCTGGAGATACGAATCAGCATTTCAAAAGACAAGTTCCCCTGAGGCAAATGTCGGAAAAGTCATTTTGCAAAAGTCACACCCAGGTCCTGTGCGAGCAGTCAAATTTGAGGCTGAGTAGGGGTCACGTCTGTTCAGCAGATAGTCAAAGGTCGCAGGCCCAGTTTAGTCTCAGTCCCAGAGGTCAAGTCTTGAGTTAGACCAGAAGTCCAAAAGGCAGGCCCAAAAGGCCACAGCAGCAGCAGACCATGGGAAAGGTACTGGGACTCACACTTCACAACAAACAAGCAGTGGGCATGCGGTACCAGGGAATTCGGCCAGAGGCTGGCCCAACCAAGACCAGTCCAACACAACAAAAGACTTGCCAGCCTCCCATTTCGACAGATGCTCATTCGCGTGAGAGTGTGGAAGTGCTTGTGCACTTGTGCGCTAGTGTGGGAGTTGCGCTGTGCCAGAGAGCAGCGCTGAGTGAGATGAGAGAGAGGAAGTAGGCGCTGGCAGGGAAGAAGGCAGCCATAGCTGCGCCTGCGCCAGTTAGTAGTAGGGTTAGTATGTCAGTAGAAGTGGACCAGTGAGTTGTATTCAGAGTCGATCCTAAAGTGTGTGCAGTAGTAGGGAGTGTGCATGTGTGTGAAGAGAGAAGACTAGTGTAGAGTTTAGACCAGGGACACTAAGACAAGTGAGAGACAGGAGGCAGAGAGAGCTATGGTGGAGACTTACCTTGTCTAGCGCTGATGTGCGCTGGGTTCCAGACTCTTGCTGATCGAAGAAGACTTGTAATCTTGTTGAGCGCTGGATAATTGAACTCTTGACTCTCTCGCTATAATCTGGTTGTGGAATTGGAGCTTCGCTGCCTGGCCTAATACTCATCATCTACTTGTGCAATGCGTGACAATACAATCTGTGTGACACGCATGCTGGTGTGAACACTCCATCGTGTGGTGAGCTTTGAGGCCCATTGCAAACATGTTCTTTGTACAATAAAGATAATTTTTGTGTACCCATCTTTCGTGCGATTCTTGTGTCGCGGCTATTGGTTTCAAGTGTCAACACTCATCTGGATGCTCGTTGCATGTGAGTGTGAGGATGACGGTGATTGACTTGAGAATCATTTCACTAAATGTGCACTAAGCCTGGTCGGCCTCTATGCAAGTTAACTCCACTGCTCATGAAGATGATAGAAGTCAATCCATAACCATATTGAGTAGCCTTGATGGCATTGCAGCTTCCGTCCAGCTTGCCCAGTGAGGAAGATGTCAGATTGGTCACATTTGAACTTTCCGAGGTCCTCCTCTTGCACAAGTGCCTTGCACCCTTCTGAACTTCACGTCGTCACTCCAACACACCGCTCCCCTCTTCTCACCAACCCTAATCCAGATCTTTTGTAATAAACTCAGTTCATAGACATACAGCCGTTGGCTAGGGTCGTCACTTTCTGTCAAAGGGCCAAAAGTCACGTCCCAAGTCTGAGAATTGTCTGAGAGAGGGCCTAGGAAGGGGCATCAAGGCCTGAGTCAAAAACAGCGGCCACAGGCCCCATTTGAGTTGGTCGACTCTTGGAAAATCAAAAGTCAGACCCAGCACGGGAAAGGCAGGCCCAAAGTCAAAGTCAACCCCATAGTCAGCCTCGGTCATAGATCAGATGCACATCAATGGTTGTCTGCAGGTATCCAGAAGATTCCAGTCCCAACTGGGAAAAGGTACCGCTGCTTCAAGACTGCATCCTGGCCATCAAGATCTGGCAAATCTGAAGCGTCGGCACGGTCCAAGGGGAGACTGGTCCAGACCAGTCAACGCCGGTCAAAGCTACATAAGGTCAGCCAGACCACTGGGGAAGGCATTCTGCCTTGCGCTGGCTTGATGCTAGTGTTGCTGCGCGAGGCTGCTGGAGTGTGATGCTGGTACCAGATACGGCTGAAGGGCGCCAGCCTAGAAGGAGTTTATGCTTGCGCGGCCATAGCCACCGTAGCTGTAGACTATGTGATGAGGGTTGGCGAGGGGGAGGATCAGGGCTGTGAGACTGATGGGAGCTGAAGGGAGGCCTGGACTTACCTGGCGCCGACACGTGTGATCAGCCGGTCTCCACAAAGGTGAGGAAGTGCTGCGCCATCCTCCATATCTTATTGCTGACACGGAAGGAGGATGGGCTCCCTGTTATGGTCTGCACATTGACTATGTCAGAGGAAGTCAGAGGAGAACATGCATTGCTGAGGTGGCAATAGGGGAGGAGCCCGAAGTCGCAGTGGGAAAGGAGAGAGATCATACTTGCGGCGCATCAGTGCGGTGCGCGATGCGGTGCGCTGCGCGGTGCGTGGTGCGCACCTGTGCCGTGCGCGCACCCGTGCACGATGCGCGTGCACTGATGCGCAGTGCGCTGCGCGGCACTCATACTGTCGCGCATGGTGCGTCGTGGTATACATGCATTTTTTTTTTTTTTTCCTATGTGATACACCAAGTTACGGGGAACCCCGTAGAGAGAGAGAGAGAGAGAGAGA